TCCAAATGTGCTCTTGTGATCTTCCCATGTAACGAAAGTTCATTAATCATCTAACGCAACTCCTTGTGGGTCCACCTTCAACGAGGACATCACCACATGCACTTGCGTGAATTCACCACACACATCGCACACACTAGATGGTATGTGACCCCTTGTATGCACAAGTAAGTCAATATGCACTTCCCAGCACAAGATGTCCACTTGCCAAACAGCCTCCACTCCTTCAGGTGCTGTATACAGGTAATCCGCCTCTTTAAGGTCCACTGTATTCCCTTGGATTATTCAGAGGAACTCATAGTGTAGATCGATGTACTGGAAAGTGCATATTGACTTTGGTGCCCGTTTATGACACAGAGAATAGCTGCGATTCAACGGATCTCAGCTATTCTCTGGTCATTCACAGTTTATAACACTCAGGAGATCATGTCAGCCCTTCACTGGAGATCTGTGTTCTCCCTCCAGATTCTCCAGCCCAGAGCTGGAGAATCGGAGGGACTGCAAACTAAGCTGAGATAATTTACCTCTGCTTAGTAAACTGATCTTTTACTGTAATCTCACGAGATTATAGTAAAATCAGCCATTTTCCAGAGTTTGTAGACCGTTCTCCAGCGTTTGGAGACCGTTCTCCCTTCGTTCGGAGAACTGCTTCATAAACTGCATTCACAGGAGAACTGTGTTCTCCGAGAATGCTGGAGAACTGAGCAGCAATCTATTACTGCTGGTTCATAAACGGACACCTTAGTCTGGTGAGTGCGGTGTGTGGTGAAGAGTGCACATGGTGATTTACTCACTGAAAGTGGATCCACAAGGAGTTGCATTATATGATTCATTAACTTTCGTTATATCAGAAGAGCACATTTTATTTTACTTTGGAGATTTCTAGTTTTATTTGAATTAATTTGCTAATAGTTTGGATTATACATGTTTATATATGATTTATTAAAGCTGTCTTCTTTTATATACTGTATATTTTGGCATATTTTGTCACAGGTTTTGAGCTTGGTGAAAGATAGCTGCTGAATCTTACCAAAACACAATTTTTTGTTCCCATTTACTGGATGCCAGTGTCTTTCTTTTGATGATAATATCCAGTCATAGGCTGGGGGCAGAGGTGTGATCTAGCTCTACTGCTTACAGCAAGTTTAATAGTCATTAAATGTCATAGCTTAATAGTCATTAAATGTGATGGCTGCATTCGTTTTCTTTTTTTAGGCTTTTTAACAACACAATTTCTGTCTTAGGATCAATTCACACCAGCCGCTGCTTGGTAGTGGCTGGTGTGCAGTGCAATGGTGCTGGACAATTGAATTGCTGACCCTACCGCATCGCAATGCTCCTTTTTTTTTTTAAACAAACTTTATTGAAACATCATACAGTGACACTTCATAAAGTCTTACTGGTCGCCAAACAATTGAGGCGGTGGATTTCCAGACCATACTTTTTTCAGCACATACGACCACAGTGCGGTCATATGAACTGGACATGTAGGAGACAAAACATTTTGGCTTGTTTTATGGTGGGATTGCTCTGGAATAGCTGCCGAAGGCAGTGCCAGTGCACCTGGTGTGAATTGGCACTCAGAGTGTCCCCAGGTACCTTAAGCCTAGTGCGCATGGGCTGAATGTTGAGCAGCATCAGGCAGTTCAATAGAAACCGGCTAACATTCGGCCCATTCGCCAGTTTCTGTTGAAGGGGCATGACCAAAAAATATCTGCCGATTGGATACAGATCACCTCTCTCAGAAAATGGCTGAGAACGTTGACCAGAGGGTTCTGGTGGTGGTGGTGGTGGGGCTGTTCCCCGTCACAACACAATAACATAGTAGGGGAGATTGCTGTGCTAACATTGGATAGTAAGCACAGAGTCTGAACGGTCAGGTTTTTTTTTTCAGCCTGCTGGGTTGAATGAAAAAAAAAAACTAGTAGTGTGCACTAGGCTTTAATGTGTCGCATGTGTTTCTTGGTCATCTGAAATGCCAGAAGATTGTAACAGTGCTTCTCTGCATGACCCAAAAAAAGACATGTAGATGCAAACTAAATTATTTTGCTTTCCTATAATTAGCCTCATGAAGCTCAGCTCTCTACTTCCTTTAACCTTAGCTATAGCCTTGTACACACAATGAGAATTTCATGAATAACCGCCAGGTTTTTTTGCATGCTAGTCTCATATCGGAAATGAAGAGATTACTAAAGTTACAAAAATTCTCGTACAACAGAATACAACTTTGGAAGTGATGTAATGTATTGTATTGTGCCGTAATCTATTATGTTTCTGCATATGCGTGGTCTTGGTCTTCCTTTTTTTAAAAATGTATTTATTTATTACAGGTACTTATATAGAGCCATCTATTTTACGCAGCACTTTACATATATATTGTACATTCCCACCAGTCCCTAACCTTCAAGGGGCATACAATCTATGGTCCCTAACTTACATTCATACATACACATACTAGGGCCAATTTAACCCTGGTTCACATATATGCGGCCGTGTGGGCCACTTTTTGCGTGGGCATGAGAGCCCATTAATTTGCCCCAGAACATGCAGGGAAGAAGTCCCTGCTCTTCTTCTGAAAACACAGCCCGCATGGGAACCTCAGTTCCCAGTACAGTTGTGATTTCCAGTGCGGGCGACGTGCCATTAGAATTAATGGCACCCGCCCGTGGTTACGCATTCTTCTGTGCGGGTGGTGCGGCTGCATGGATTTTTGTGCGGATTCGCTGCGGCACCACACGCACATATGTGAACTTAGCCTTAGACAGGATCCAGATTTTCCAGCTAATGGTCCGCCACCTGTGTACTTGCAGCCTGAGCGAGATTGTTATTGGGTCAGGTTAATTACGCAATTAACCCTTCATGCTGCCACCACCTCCTTTTTGTACAGAGAAAGAGGAAACTCGGCAATATCAGTAATAACACTATGACGGTTAAAATAATGGTCTGTATACCACTGTCACCACAGACAGGTTATACAGAGGGTTAAACACACACACACACAGTAGCGCTCTTAGAGGCAGGAATTCGTAGTTTGCATTAAAGGCGTTAGAAACAGTTCAACACTTTCAGAAAGTAAGATTTATTACTAAAAGGTCAAAAGGGTGCAATAAAAATATTTACAGAAAAAAGATGTAACCAATATATATATTGGATCCAGATTGCCCAACGCATCAAATTCAAACTGCTAACTCTGACCTACAAAGCCATTCACAATGCCTGCCCTGAACTACATAACTGACCTGATACCTTCCCTTCCCTCCTAGATTGTAAGCTCGAAAGAGCAGGGCCCTCGAACCCCTCGTGTAGTGTATTGTTACTGTCTTGTCTCATGTTCTGTCCCCCTTGCTACTGTACAGCGCTGAGCATACCCTTTGGCGCTATATAAATACTGTATATAATAATAATAATAATAATTAACCTACCAGCATTTTTTTTTTTTTCGGAAAAATACTGTACTGATTAAATGAAAATTGTATGTTCTGGTATCATATGAGAAACATTTGTGTGTGTTTGTCTGTTCGGATAATTTTGCCTGAACTGTCATAATCAGCTCTCGAAAGCTGTGTACTAATGATCAGATTATCGCGCGATTGCTTCAAAAGCCGTATTTTTCCTCTGATTTTCTGATCATGTGTGCTAGGCATAACCATTGTCTTTTTATTCTATACAACCAACAGTCACAAACTGAAGACTGATACAATCAGCTTCTGCAAAGAGATGTATGTACCCTGTATAGAATATAGGAGGCTTTCTACAAACCAGCCCCTCCCCCTCCTCTCTGAGCCAACAAACAGCTTTTTTCACATTGACACTGCTCTGCAAGCGAACATCTGTGCAGGTTTTTTGACCCTAGCGCTCTTGTTCAAGGCAAATCCAAACACTGCCTGCCCATGCAGCCATCTATGCAGCCGCTAAATTGCTATTGTTTGTTTTAAGTATATGGCAATTAGAGAATGATAGTTTCTCTCACACAGCAAATAATAGCCTCATATATCAATACAAGGGGAATGTAGTTTCTGTGCACAGCAATGACCTATATTTATCTTCTGTGTGACTGTGTCAGATGTAGCAGCAATGTATCTTGAATTCATCAGGGAGCATTTTCCACTATAAAAACAAAAGAAATAGGGGGTAAAAATCCTGGTAAATGATAAGCTTTGTTGATGTTTATTTTACAGCTTAGAAATGCATCTGATTGGTCGGATATAGTTTTGTATCTTGCAGCCTGCTATGTACTCTAATTTTCATCAGCTTCTACATTCTTCATTCTTTCACTCTCTTCCTCTTTATCTTTCAACCCACTGCCTTTGATTACTGCTATATCTCCCTCTAATCTCCCTGCTGGTCTCCCCCTCCTTGGCAGTGTGAGGATCATTTACATTTTTATCACCTATTTCCACTTGCCTGACTTTCTATGCTTTCCAAATTTTCTTCTTGTTATCTCGGTTTTATATCCTCAAAAATCTAGCATCTCTTTCTTACATGCCCGTATTTGACTTTTTGTCTTTCTTCTGTATATCCATTTATTTTCTACCTCCGAGCATCTGCCTTTCTTTCCTTCTCTCCCTCCTATTTCCTTCGCTGCTGACATAGCCTTGTCTCTCTTTTCTTTCAGATTCTGGTGGCAGCTGGAGACGGACAGAAACAGAGACGGATTCATCTCTTGAAATCTACATCCCAGGGCACAGAGGCGGCTGGCACACTTATATACACAATCTCTGTCTTCTGTTCCCTGTCACCCTTTCCGTTCATTTTAACTTTCCACGGCTTGATAGAAAAACACTGGGAAACACAAACGAGTAACTGTTGGTTGCTCACCGGGAGCTAGCTGTTTGATCAGATACTATTATTGAGAAGAGACTTGTTCTCATATCCTGTCCCATAGAACATGATGTGCAGAATTTTGTCTAGGACTGTTATAAACGGACTGCGCTAAGCTTGGGCACAAATCTGCAGTCGGATATCATATCTTCCTTTGGCCCATCATTCTTGTTTTTTGCAACATGTCATACTGGTGGTTCTTTTTGACACTAGTTCCTTTCTTCTGGTACCTCCCACCAGGGGCAGAGAGTGATTGCTGGCTGATTGAAGGTGACAAAGGTTATGTCTGGCTAGCCATCTGTAGCCAGAATCAACCTCCATATGAAACCATCCCTCAGCATATCAACAGTACAGTTCATGATCTTAGGCTTAATGAAAATAAGTTAAAGATTATTGGCTATGCTTCCCTCTCCCGCTTTGGAAATCTAACAGACTTGAATCTCACAAAAAATGAGATCTCATATATTGAGGATGGAGCCTTTTTGGGACAATCCAACTTACAAATCCTGCAGCTTGGGTATAATAAATTGACCAATTTATCAGAGGGAATGCTGAGGGGTATGCCCAGACTACAGTTCCTTTTTGTGCAGCACAATTTGATAGAGGTGGTAACACCAGGAGCTTTCTCAGAATGTCCTAGCCTTATAAGCATTGATTTATCCTCTAACCGACTCACAAAGCTAGATGGTATTACCTTTGTCGGGCTTCAAGCACTAATGGCATGTGAACTGGCAGGAAATCCTTTTCATTGCAATTGTGAACTTTATGGCTTTCTTGGCTGGTTAGTCATGTTCAACAATTTTACTCGTAATTATGACCGCTTGCAATGTGAAAGCCCCAGAGAATTTTCTGGTTACCCTCTTCTCAGCCCAAGGCTTCACCATAGTCGAAATGCTATAACTGTCCTCCAAGCTCAGTGCAAGAATGGAGGCTATATACCACGTGAAAGGCCAACCCCTTTCATACCAAACTCCTTGCCTGATACAGATGAAAATTCTGGTTATAGTCCTGGGGATCTTCTTTCATCTGAGCCAACCCCCACTTCTACCACAGATTCTTCTGGCATACCCACTATTGAAATTCACCATGTAACAGGAAGTTCAGCTACTCTAATCGTCACTATTCCATCTCCTTATAAAAAGATGTACATTCTGGTACAGTACAACAACAGTTTTGTATATGATGTTACAACCCTGAAGCACAAGAAAGAATATATTACCTTGGATAAGCTGAAGGCTCATGTTAACTATACTTTTTGTGTTGCATCCATTCGGAACTCAAAGCGATACAACCATACTTGCCTGTTTGTTTTTACTCGGTCCAAGGATAAGGAAGAATTTTCTCCCAACACTTCCACCACCACTCACTATATTATGACTATATTAGGTTGCCTCTTTGGCATGGTCATCATTTTGGGAGTGGTCTACTACTGTCTAAGAAAAAAGAGAATGCAAGAAGAGAAAAAAAATCCCTCAATGTGAAAAAGACTATTCTTGAAATGCGCTATGGTTCAGATGTTGACCCTTGTCTTGGAGGTCATTCTTCCCAGAAGCTCTCAGAACATCCTATTCCAATCTCCCGTATATCTTCACTTCCAACATCAGTTGGTGGGCTTGGAAGTGGAGGGGAGAAAGGAATGTCTTCTAAGCCAATGAACTCTCAGATGGGAACACCAAAAGGTCCAAAGGGCACAAATTATATGGAAGTACGAAGTGTGGAAGGACTAGACAGAAATCAAAGAGGTATTCCAGGCGGAGAAGAAGATGAAGAAGACTTTCGAGAATTGGACAATGGTGAAGGCTCAGCAGCTGAAATATCCACTATTGCCAAAGAAGTGGATAAAGTGAACCAAATTATCAATAATTGTATTGATGCCCTAAAACTTGACACGGCTTCTTTTTTAGGGGGAGGGGACCCGGAGCTGGGCTACGATTGCCAGTCAATTCCAGCCAGTTCTTCGGGTCATTTGGAAAGGTTGAGCTTCCTCTCTCCTCCCTACAAGGAGGGTGTTCATCCTCTTCAGCGCCAGCTGAGTGCAGATGCTGCCACAGTGGCAAAGAAACGCTGCAGCATTTCGTCTAGTGGCTCCATTAAGAGTGCCAGAGTTTTTAGCTTGGATGTCCCTGATCAGCCTTTAAAGTGTGACTCCAAATATATTGAGAAGAGCAGCCCCCTCAACAGTCCCTTGGACCGCCTTCCTCTTGTGTCCTCTGCGGGAGTTCACCATTTAGATGTCAAGCCTTCCTATCACTGTAGTGAGCATCGTCACTCCTTCCCTGCTCTTTATTATGAGGAAAGTGCTGATACATTAAGCCAGAGAGTGAGTTTCCTGAAACCCCTTTCTCGTTCCAAGAGAGACTCCAGCTATTCCCAGCTGTCACCCAGACACCATTTCTCTGGATACTCCTCTAGCCCAGAATACTCAACTGAAAACACCCACAAGATATGGGAGCGCTTCCGTCCTTACAAAAAAACACACACGAGAAGAGGTCTACATAGCAGCTGGACATGCTTTGCGCAAAAAAGTTCAGTTTGCCAAAGGAGAGGACTTGCACGACATTTTGGATTACTGGAAAGGAGTGTCTGCTCAGCAGAAACTGTAACTGACACCTAAGAGGGTGCTAAGGGCCGGACAGGGCTGTGGACATGTTGAGAATTGTGGTGCTGAGGCACCGCAGTTTGCAGTTAAAGTTTACATTGGAGGTGGGGATGTACCCTCGTAAAAGGAGGGGAGAAAATTAGATTTCTGAGTTCTGCACAGGGAATTTTCTGGCACAGACCTCCTCCCTTTTTTAACACTTTCCCCCCCTCGGCTCCATACACTGTAGTGGTGACTTTCCATTTATACATTTTGGTTTTAGAGTTATTTTTATTAATAATATTATTATGATAAAAAATCTATAGCCCAAAATGTTGCAAGCTGAATTCAAGCTCTAGCAATGAAGAAAATAGCCATCTCTTATTAAGTCAGTCATGTAGAATAATATTCTTATATTGTTTTTTCTTCAATGTTTGTATGAATTGAAGGCAATTCTTTGTGACACAAATTGGCTGTGGATCTGCAGTTTAATGATACTGGGATTTTTTATACCAAGAGCTTTGGAGAAAAGGCTATTCTGCTTACATTAATGATTACAGTGACCTTAAATGATACCTGTCATCGTAAGATAAAAATAACTATTGCTATTATATCTATACTGCAGGGTGCACTGGTATGGTAACTATCATAGCTAGGAAAAAGAAAGAACTGAGTGATCGTAATAAACTGTATTAAAGTGAGAGTAAGATCTCAAACTGAGAGTTTTCAGGCATGTTCCAAATTTCAGAAGAAATTAATCTATTTGAAGTGTGCATGCTGCTGGGAGAAGGTGTGCTTACAAAGAATTGGGGGAGGAAGACGCATTAGCCTAGATAGCAACTAGGAATTGTTTCTAAAAGAAGTGGCTAACTCAGCATAGTGTTTGACATGCTATTGCATCTGTATTAAAGGGGAACTGAAACCAGATTAAGTTGCATAATATTCATTGTGAGCACTTCGTATATTGTTTTTCAAGCACCAAATCCCAACAGCAGCACATAGGCCTGTCCATTGTAGGACAAAGTATATCTGCAATGGTTTATAATTCTGTACATCACAGACAAGCTAGTCACACTGATGGACTAATATAGGTAAAACAGTTATGTGGGTTTTTCCATTTTTTGGCAGACGGTGAACCACAAAAACTAAGGTGTTGATGAAGGCAATGGCCAATCACCCAACATATATGTGCTACAATATGTTTTGTTTGGTGTTTTCTTTCAATTAAAAACCTTTGGAAAATGTATATTGCAAGGAATGTGGCAAGTAATATCATGGGAGATCATTGAAAAAAGTATGAGCAAAGCAAACAAAGCCATGGTTCTGCAGTTGGACATAGTTATTAGAAAACTATTGTGAGAACCTATAAAAAGTTTACTGCATTTATTAAGATCACTTTAAAAAGGTACATCACAATAGAAAACCAATGGAATTTTGTATATAAATTTTCAAAACATTAAGAAGCCCATATTGAGACAGGCTTCATCGCCCCTTATTATTATTAATATTATTATACAGGATATATATAGCACCTACAGTTTACACAGTGCTTTACAACATAAGGGCAGAGAGTACAATTACAATACAATTTAATACAGTAGGAATTAGAGGGGCCCTGCTCCTTAGAGTTTACAATCTAAGAGATCTTCAAATATATTTCCAGATCTGTTCTACTGCAACAAAGGCAATACTATTGTGGTCTTATAGAAACATGCTAATTCAGTTTTAAACAGAGCAGACCCATAAGTTAATTTATTGTATGCATAAAGATTTTGGATTTTGCTATCCAAAATGTGAGATATCTGGCTTTGTCAAGTTTTTCTAGGTCAGGAAAAATACAGTAGCATGAACAAAATATATATTACTATGGGAGGTAAAAATGGCACCATGCTCCCTTTTGCTTAGGTCTAGTCTTAAACTGGATCTTTGGCTAACAGGAATTTTTTAGCACAGCCAGCCTAACGTATTCAGTTCAATGTATTAAAGTGTTACTAAACCCACAACAGTAAAAATCAGTCTGTATATGCAGTAAAGCATGCTTGTTATACTCATTGTGGAACCTAAATGGTTGATCCTCTGTATTATGTAAAAATGCTGTTTGATCCTGTCTTCTCTGATCCTCCCCTTCTTCCAGTGTCCCCCTCTTATCTCCTGATAAGACATATAATGTGAAGTCACTCTGCATAAAACCAGTTTGGTGTAGTGCTAGAGAGTTTTATTTTTCTTGGGAGAGTGCATGTGATCAGGAAAGGTTCAATCAGCACTGTCCAGACAGAGGTCAGGGGTTCTGCATCCTCCTAGAGCAAAATGAAAACTCCTCCTACAAGCTTTCACATGTACTCTGCTGGACACTGATAGAAGTTCCAAGACTGCTTCAACTGCTGAGGAGAAAAGGTATTTAGCAGTTTATACAGTATCTACTAAAATAATTGCACTTCCATGTTGTGTGTACTGTGGGAGATCAGATATAGTGAATGCAGGGTCCTGGATTTAGTAACACTTTAATGATTAGAAGCAGAAGGTTATGGACCCAGGAATGCTCTGCTCATTTTCCTTACAGGGGTCCCCCTTTAAGTCTTTTCATTCATTTATAGGCATTGAAAAGTCATTATACTATTGCAATGGCACTTACAATTACCTATACCTGCCATGTTTGATGGAACAATTGCAACCTTTGGACCCTAAATAGCAAGACCATATAGACAAGCCTAGCTTTGGCTATAAACAAAGAATTATGAATTTACTGGTTAAATTGATTTGTGTTAAGCATTCATATTTTTAATTGAAAGCAGAAGATATCGACTTTATAAAATAAACGCTGCATGCTGCAGTTTTAGCACATTTTCCTCAGTTTGTAATGAAAGATGTATGTTTGACTTACAGATTGCAAGGTTTAAATTCAGCCTCACAGTATCACCCAGCAGTGGAGACATACGCACTACAGGTTAATAAAGAGAAACATCTTAAATAGGAGCTTTCATTTTTCTGTTACCTCCTGAATTGATGATATTGACCTATTTTATATATTCTCCCTGGTGTCCTCCACTTTACGAAGTCAGCTTGCAACATCACTTACTCTAGTGCATGGGCTTACCTTTGTCACCTCTACATTGCCCTGTGTGTTTTCTTGACTTTTTAGAAGCTGACTAATATTCCTTAGGTTATTTTTTATCTTTATAATTGTACCTATTGCTTACAAGCAGTGGGCGTGTCCATTTTGTAATCAAAACCAATATCCAGCCTATCAGCTCACTTGAAAGTGGTGATATCAGTGAATACTGCTTCACGAATATCGATTCAGAACACAAAATGGCGTCATCCATTGTTGGTAGGTGAAAGGAGCACTTTATGTTTTTTTGCTGTATTTTCAAAGACATGAATTGTTTTTGGCTTCTTGTTTTAAGATTTTTTTATTTTGTATTTTTTTTTGGGTGGAATTGGGAGTGCGGGAGGGTTTGGGAGAAAGGGATGGAGGGACTTGTACACAAGGTTTTAGGCCAATAATTTTCAAAGGAGGAGATGGGAACTGTATTTTTTGCATGCATTAGTGTAAAAAACAAAAAAAACAAAAAAACAAAAAGAAACAAAAAAAACACAAAAGGTAAAGAAAAAAAATAAATAAAAGCACTTGGCACAGTTCACTCTTAATGTATGTCCAGCAGTGATATGTGGTGACATCCTGCCTGCTGGGAATCTGCTGGTATCTAGTGGGAGAGATGAAGGTACACTGCTATAGGGAGAGGTAAATTAGAATGTAATCATTTATATGCTATAGCTATTCTATTTACCCCACAGCGCTTTTTTATTTGAATAGGTTTATTACAGTAGCAAAAAATAAACTCTGTGAAAGAAGACCATATGAGAGCCAGCAAGAGCAAGAAAACTCTGATGGCTATCTCCCTCACGTATCTTTTTTTTATTAAAAAAAAATTACCTCACTTATCTTTCATAATCTCAAGCTGTTTCTCTCTTATTATATTATTCTTTACTATATATTTTATATAATTTTTGTATATCAACCCTTTAGGATCCATTCAAATCATTGCGCACAGCAGAAGTCAAGCTCACTGATCTGTAAAAGGTACATCATACTTTCTCCACTCCTTTTTTTTTTCCCCGTAAAATCACATAATACAGCTACAGGTGCTCAGCCAACTTCAGACCTCATCACCTCCTATCAACTGCAAATTCAATAACATTAGGCCACACATTGCTCATCTTCTTCACAAATCTTTATTTAGGGCCAGTTCACACCACAAAAATGCACTCCGGAGCCATAACTACTGATGAGCATAGGCCCGAATCCCAACTGATATTGCCTCAACCTTGCCCCCATCTAAGAAAAATACACGTAGAACAATTTAGTTGGAAAAAAGGGCAAGGCCACACCTCTATTTAAATTCAAACATGGACCAATTCAAAATAACCATTTTAACCAGTGGCAGTCACAGTTGTACTGTGAGCACATTTATAATATTGGGTTAACCCCTTGGCGCCGACCGCACGCAAATTAGCAGCCTCATAGAACTGGGCTTTTTTCCATGGGGCTGCTAATTTGCATACCTGACTTTCTGCTGGGAGCGCACCGCACGGCCGCACAGCATGCTCCCAGCACAAAGGGTGTCACTGAGAGCCAGGACCTGGAACTCCCAATTCCAGGACACCTGATCGCTATGATAGCCTTTGATTAACTGTCACAGTGATCAGTCACTGTGAAGCCCGCCCCACCTTGTTTTCTCTCTCTGAATGGAGGAGAGAGATACATTGTACATCTCTGATCAGTCACTGCGAAGCCCGCCCCACCTTGTTTTCTCTCTCTGAATGGAGGAGAGAGATACATTGTATCTCTCTCTGTCCTTTTCAGAGTGATAAAAAAAAAAAGTGTGCAAAAAATAAATAAATTAATAAATAAAAAAATAATTAAAACATAAACAAAAATACCTAGATCAAGGTTTGATGTAGGTCTGTGCCAGGGTTAGTGTTTTGGTCAGGTCAAAGGTTCAAAGGTCGGGGTCAGTTTTTTTT